GTAATCCACACGACCCGCACAGCATGGAAGAGGGCAGTGGGTCGACAAAAGGGTTGCACATGGACAAGGGCACGCAGAGACACTCCTGTTCCGTTGACCACTGCCTTGCAAATCAAAACAAAACAGACAAAAAAAAACAAGTAGTGCCAAAGTAGAAAAAAATCAACTCTGCTTCATCTTTCTGCGCCGTCTCTCCGACAACAGAGGCTCTGGCAGCATGAAAAGGACCGTTCAAGCGGCCCCATTAATTTGCACCGATGCCAGGGCAGATAAGCGAGCCCCAGATAGAAACGATGCCACGGTAAAAAAAAAATGGGGAAGGGGCCTCCGGGGGCGGCAAAAATCCGCGGAAGCACCCGCCCGACCGCAACCTCCCCTCCGACAAATGCAGCTGAGAATTCGGACAACCGTCCGATGTTTTCATTTCGGGTTTCACCATGCGGCTGTTCTGCATGATTGTCCGACGTTTCGTTCCACGGCTTGGTAGCTTCTTAATGAAATGAGTGAAAAAGAGCTCCCAGCGAATTGCGCACACATTGGACAGCTGTGCAGCACAACCACGAACACCTCCACGGTAATTCGGATGACTAGTCAGTGCTTGCAACTGGCCCATTATTATTTTCATGGGCCAGAAGAGACATTTGTAAACAACTGTGGTAAATTGCCCGCTATGTCCCCGATCTTGTCAGATCTCAGAAGCAGGGTTGGGCCCGGGTAGTGCTGAGTTTGGTGACCACAATGCACAATCGGGTGTTAGAGGTTGGTGGGGCTACTTCCTGGGCACAAAATGGCAGTGGTAACATTTAATGTTGTACCGTACTATACCCCAACTTCTGTGTTCCCTGCCTTGACCAATCTCCAATCTGCACTGGCCAACGAGGCAAAAGTTTGGTCATGTAATCCTCCGCAACCTGAATTGCATGGGGGGAAACTCTCATCCGGCAGTGGATTGGCGAAATAGGCTTCTACATGAGGTACAAAAACTTGAGTGGCCTTCATTTCTTCAGAGGAAGAGCGAGTCCAAACAGAGAGCTCTTCTCTTACATGCGTTTGAAGCTTCATTCGTGAGACAATCAGACATTATCTCTCATGCGTGCATTGTTAAAAACAAAACAATATATTTCGTGCGATTTTAAGTGTAAAATTAAATCCCCCCCCCCAAATGTATGTCAAATATTTTAACATTATTTCATAGCAGTCTTGTAACTCGTATCAGCCCCCACTGGGCAGGATGTACGAGAGGGTCATGTTCGCTACTTGGAGTGTTCTTTGGACTTCATTGGATCGAAGTTGTAGTATCACGTCAGTGAAGTGACGTCACAGTGACCGCTACGAGTGCCGTAATGATGCACTCGACCGTAACGTTCATTGTAATGTTCATCTGATCCTCCTGTGAACGAACGTTCTAACTGTTGTGGGACTCTCCCGGGACAACCCAGTCAACGTGGATTGTCGAGCCGACGTTGGCCCAATGTTGGTCGAAAGTTCGGCCGTCGGTGTCAACGTCGGGGACCAACGTTGGTCCACTGTTGGTCCAACAGTTCTCACCGCATGCCAACGTTGGCCCGACGTTGCGTGTTTACTGGGAAACAGCTTAGGTGCGTGGCAACCGCAGATGTTTCTCGGGTTGCACTCTCCTTAAAAAGAAATTCAAGATGTTTGTTGATCCACGCGTAACTCAAGAGCCAAACGTCGTAAAGGGTGCAATCCACCAAATAAACATCACCCAAAAAAATAACCCCCTTCCAAAATGCAAGTTCATTTTTGGTTCGTGAGGGCTTCACCTGACCTGGAGAGCAGACAGAACAAACCGCGCAGTGACCACCTCCTGACTGCCACGTGCGAATGAAATAGCTAAATATATTGAAAGAATACCATAGAGTGAGCAACAGTAGATGTTTAGATAAGGTGAAACGAGAAAGAGAGTGGGGACTTGGAACAGGGTTGATGGTTTGAGAAAATAATAATTACGACGATCACAGTGATTATGATGGTCAAATCGAGGACATGAACATTCCTTGATGAGAAAGTCGTCTTGCAAGTCGCCCAGTAAGACGCTCGCCGCCTCTGCCGCGGATTTAAACAGCCCCCCCCCCCCCCCTCGGAGACGCAGCCAATCAGCACGCGGAATTAGCATTCAAATTCCTCTCGCGGAGCCTGCAGGCCTCTGATAATCCACGATCCAGTTTGATCCCCGGTGGTGATAACAGGCGGGGAGCGCTTCAAGCTGCGACTGCAGCCCTGTCTGCGTGGCCGTGCAGATAATGGCTGATAAATCACGAGGCATTAGTCACACTTTATGCCCCCGGCCAGCTTTTTCCTTATGCATATTTTTTTTGGCGGGGGTGGATTTAGGGATTTGGAATCGGTTGAAGGGGTGGTAGTGGTGGTGGTGATGGTGGGAGTTAGAGAAGAGCTCATTTCGAGTCATGTTCCATTTTATGTTGATATTATTGTTGGGTTTTTTTTTTACAAATCATTGTAAAAGATCGCGGAAGGTCCCGAATTTCCTGAAATCTATCGCCGCCCTGATAGAGAGCACAGATACGGAGCGAGCAAGGGATGCTCGGTGTTAATGTGCCTTGTGGTGGGCGGGGGTGGCTTAACCTGCCCCGGGACCCACAAAGGAGAGTTGAACCGTAGGTTATTGTTGGCTGTGACTGAATTTCTACATATATTTCTCTCTATGTATATATACACACACAGGTCAACGTTTTACACACACAAGGTCAATAACCAGTGGTGTGCCATCCTGCCCGGGGGTGTGGTGGCTAATCATGCCTATAATCCAGCACTGCGGAGGAAAGGGTTGATGGGTCACACACATGCAGGGAAACTACTTTCCCAAGAGCATTGAAGTACCATACCCTAGCTTGTCAGGAGGTGGTACAGCAAAAATTGGGGGCTCCACCCATTCCATCTGTATGGGATAGAGTGTTTCCCCATAGCACATGTGGGTTTTCTCCGGGTTCTCTGGTTTTCACCATTGATTGGCTGATAACGCCTTAATATATAGATGAACGCACAGCTTGGGCAATTGTAAACTATACTATGAATATATTTTTTTAACAGGTAAGGCCCATTGAGCTATATAGCTCTTTTTCAGAAGCGACCTGGCCACAAATAATAGCTCAACGCAGTGGTTCATCATGTGGAAATGTATCGCATCCAAATACTCTTAATGCATGTTTTTTTTTAATACAGAGGGGAAAACCCCACGTGACCACGGGGAAAACATGCAAATTCCAAATATACAGGAGTCAGGGTCGGGATCGAACCCACGACCTCCTGTATACCAGTTGAGGTAGTTAACATCTGGCTACCGTGGCGCCCCAATTGTTGACGCCGACTCACCACGTGGCTGCCTTCCCACGTGTCTGTGGTCCCTCGTGCCTCGGAGTTTGTCTCCGTCTTCGAGAACGAGCGAATGCTCTGTGCGTTGCAAGTCTCAATTATTATCAACTGTGAGATTAGAAAAACACATGGGTCGGATTAAAAAAAACACGAATTAGAGATATCATATCATACTAACCTCGGAAAAGTGGGCTTGCACAGGACACATTGCGAGAAGGGATGATGGCCAATGGTGACCGAGTGGCAGCCAAAGAGGGAAGGCGCCCACGAGGATGACCACCGTGGAGACGAGGGAATAAGATGGATTCATGCAGGAGCGAGATGGATTACAGTATCACTAGGCCATGAGTGATGCCGATAACTTCGGGAGGCCTTCATCCAGTAGTGGATTGACTCATCGCTGTTGATGATTCACCATCTATTTAGGCACTGTACACATTTAAAAATACTTTTAAATTTTATACAAAAGAATATTTTAAAAATATATACATTTCATTTACATTGGCCAATCAGAAATTGCACTTGTAATGATGCATCGGGTTAAAATAATTCTTACACTCACAATACATGCATGTGTGCTTAAGAATCAATGACTATCTTTTTGCGTGTCGTACTCTCCCGTAATTGCATTAAATAAACCAAGTTTCCACTAGGGGCGCTAGAATTCACTGCATTGTTATATAAATATATATTCTTGTCACGGCCACCTCCTTCGGCAACTCAAATTGACCAGTGTGGTGAAGTATGGTCAAATAACGGCCATGACTGCCATAGCATGGAGAAGACCACCATCCAGCAGCGGAATGACAAAGGGCTGTACATTGTCCTAATATATTTTCAGGGCGAAATGCTATTTACAGATGTAGCAGTTGACCGCCTGGACCGTGAGAGACATTGGCAGCACGAGAAGCCCTCTGTGCATCAGTGGATAGACAACGGATGACGACGACGACGACGACGACCATGTTTTTATTCTGAACATGACAGACGTTTGCGAGAACAAGTTCTGGTCACAGTGAAGCCTGCTGCTAATCTTTCCCAGAGATGCGAACACCCGAAACGGGAGTAAAACCTGTGCGCCTCCCGCCCGCAAGCCGTGCCCCCTCACTGCCCTGCTTGTATAATGAGCGGATTTAAATTTTCGCATTATGGCCGCGTATCTCGAATGGATCTCTTCAATCAGCGGTTCGGGGCGTGAGCGTGGGCTCTAATCTGCGCACCGCCTGCGCTCACTGTATCTCCCAGGGCCGAGTGATGAATCTGAATGGCTCGGGATCTCATCATCTCGCTCAACGATTGATTTCCAAATGCGGTGTCCAGAGTTCAAGGTCATGACTCAACTATAAAAATCAGCACCCCCCCCAATTTCCCTCCCACTATAATCACAATAAAACCTGAATTGACTCTGTTCTGTCTGGAATGCCAGCTGGAGAAACAAACACTCAGACAGGGCTGCCAGATCGGGCTATTTTGAGCACAACTGGATTTTTTCAAAAACTGAAATGAATTGCAATATAAAAACAACTTCATTTGCATTCGTAACTGCATTCATGTATGTAGGCACATAGCCAATCGTGCTAAATTGGAGGTGCGTATTTGGAAGGGGCGACTCTTGGTGACTTTGCATGTGTGTGCGTGTATCGCAGATGCCCTCCTGTGCTGCACCGCGTGCGGAGGCCCCGTGGCAGGGGGGGCGAGTCCCCTCCTATCCCCACGCCACCGCGACTTCTTCTGCCCCAACTGCCGCGAGACGGTCGGGCCCTCGAAACCCCCTTCTCCACCCGCACGCGAGGGGTCCCCTCAGTTGCCCCCGAAGGAGGAGCCTGAGGCTCACAATTCGCCCGCCACTGCCTTCATCAAGCAGGAGGCGGAAGAGGAGGAGAAGGCGGAAGAGGAGGAGGAGGCTCCCGACGATGAAGCCGCTGGCATGAGCGGTGAAGCGGAACCGGAAAGCGAAGGGGCGCTACGGATCAAGGAAGAGGCCCCAAGTCCCAGCGAAGCCGCCGCTTCCCCCGGTCTCCGCCATCAGATGCCGTCGCCCCAGAACTGCCCGGCTCTGCGGGTGGCCCTGTCCCCGGGGGCCCGGGAGCGTGGCACCGCCGAGGGGGGCGCCGTCTGCGTCGTCCCCCGTGGTTCCTGGGCGGCGGCCCCGGGCAGCCGCTGCACGGGCGCCGCGCCGGGCTCCTTGGCGGCCGCCGTCTACCCCACGGGCCCCACGCACTGCGTCGAGTGCAATATCAGCTTCAGCAAAGTGGACAACTACATCGTGCACAAGACGCTCTACTGCTCGTCCCGGCAGCAGCAGCACCAGCAGAAGCAGAAGCAGCAGCAGCAGCAGCAGAGGCGGCCGGAAGCAGAAGAGCGACGCAGCTCCGCTTCGGCGATCGCGAGGGAAGCGGAGGGTGCCGGCGTCGCGTCTGCGGGCACAAGCGGAGACGCAGGTCTGCTGGCGGCGCCGACCCCTGCCGCCGTGAAGATCGAGCGCGAGGGCTCGCACGGCAGCGGCCGCACGATGCAGCCGAGCGTCGCTCTGCAAGACGCCGAGCGACGCCCCGACGCTGTGCGCACCAGCTGCGCCGAGTGCCGCATCACCTTCGGCCGCCTGGAGAACTACCTCGTGCACAAGCGGCACTACTGCGCATCCCGGCACGGCCGCGCCGGCGACAGCGCCAGCGGCGGCGCCGGCAATGCCCCCGTCGCGCCGCAACGCCCGGGCCTCCCGGTCCCATGGCAGCCCGGCACGAGCGGCGCGCCAGCCGGGCAGCTGCGGCGGCGGAGTCGGCGAACGCGGTGGGCCGCGGCGAGCGCTTCACCCGGCTCGTCCACGGACGGAAGTTTGGGGAGCCCCGCTCGTTCCTCCTCCTCCTCCTCCTCCTCGGGGAAGGCCTCCGATGGAGAGGCGGCCGAAAGTCGGGATAGCTCGCCCGCAGCCGAAGCTGCGCCGGCAGCGAAGCGCGTTTGTGTCGACCGTGCGCCTCCGCTGCCGCCGCCGCCGCCGCCGCCGCCACCGCGTCTCTCTCGGCATCCCCTTGATGACGCGAGCGCCGCCGCTGTCGCCGCTGTGCCGATGGATTTGAGCGGCCACGTCCCGCTCGGCTTCATTCACCCGGGTCAGGCGGGCCTCAGCGACTACCACAAGTGCGCGTCCTGCCAGATCGCATTCAGCCGCCTCGAGAACTACCTGGCGCACAAGCGCTACTACTGCCGCGCGACGCTGCACCGCCGGCCGCCAGGCTTGCCCGCGGCGCTCTCCGATCCGCAGCCCGCCCGTCCGCACGGCTACGGGACCCTCGACGCCGCCGCCGCCGCCACCCCCCTCCCGCGGGGTTACCAGACCCCCGGCGGAGTCCGACCACCTGACTTCTCGTCAGGGGGCGCCGGGGGCACCTCCCCAGCATACGTGGAGAAAAATGGAGGAGCGGGGACGCCACCATCCCCGAGCGCCGTGACGGTGAAGATCGAAGTCGTGGAAGAGGAGGAGGAAGAGGAGGAGGAGGAGAAAACGTCACCGGACGATCGCCGGTCTGCGAGCGACTCTCCTGCCGGAGGGGATGCGGAGGACTTGCCAGATTGCCCCCCGTCGGTGGGGGGAGGCGCCGCCAGCCCAGAGCGCGCCGGGGGGGGGAGCCCGGGTGTGGCGACGGCGCCGCGTGCGACGGGCAAGCACTGCCGCTCGTGCGATATCCGCTTCAGCAGCCTGTCCAACTTTGTGGCGCACAAGAGGTTCTACTGCGCCTCGCACGCCGTGCAGTAGGAATTTGGGATCATAGTATGCGTCATATATTTAATTATTGTAATAATGTACAGTCTATTGTCAATCGAGTGCTGGGTGAAGGATTCTCCCCCCGTGCCGTGTCGGTCATGAGTGTTATTTATATATGTACCTGCTCTGGTCAGTACGGGTTGGTGAATGGGGAATAACAGGACCGATTCAAATGTCGCTCACCAGCAATCAAACTCATTGGAAGAGTTTGTAGGATAATGCGCCATCCACTGGCACCACCTTTCCGCCATTGTCATTTAATCATCATCGTTATCTATCTGGATGAAGGCCTCAACAAATGCAAACACCACCTGCACACACAAGCTGATTTCATCCCTTCATCTCCGTGGTGGACATCTTTCTGGGGCGTCTTCCCTCCTGCGGCTACCACCAAATCATTGGTCTCGACCGTTGGTCGTCATTCCGTCCCACAACGTGCCCTGCCCAAGCCCATTTATTTTTATTGCCATTCAATATAATATATTTATGTTTTTATTTTATTCTCGAATCCACGTAAATAAGTTTAGAACACTTCATCATGTGAAGTGCTCGATGGGCTAAGAACCATGCCAAGTTTGTTGTCACTGTCATCTTGAAATGTTACATCATCCCAGATTTCAGTCGATGACTCATGTAGTGTAGTGTATGAATGCCAGTATTGATTCCATAATCATAATCATCGAACCAGGGTGAATGAAATGAGCACAGCCTGCATGGGGTAGCTTTTTCCTGAGGACAGACTGGGCTTCGTCATGGTAATGTGGAAATTCCAACACTGGCTCGGGACTTTAAAAGGGAGATGAATTCCACGCAATGCTAATAAGAGACAATGACCTTCATGAATTATGGGAGTTTAAACAATGTATCTGCCAAGGTTTAGTAGTTAGACGTCCCTGTATTCAATAAAACAACACTCCATACAAAACTATAATCGTCATCAGCCACGGTCAATCCACTGCTAGATGAAGGCCTCCCCAAACCATTGCTGACCCTCATGGTTCTGCACTGTACCAACAACACTACCATATAAACATCGATTACATTTTTTTAAATTCGACAGAAAATAAGATGTAAGAATAAATAACTACAAAATGCTGCTTTATTGTTAAGTTCAATAACATTAATGTTCTGATTAAATCATTGAACCTTACCCATTACATATGTATAGGACACTACCACTCACGATATTGCATGGAGTCTTGAGTGAGAGGAGTTTTTTTCTATACAATTTATACTAATTACATGCAAAACCTATGCTCGTGTTATATTTAAGTTAATGTAGCAAACAACACTGTACAAATAACACGGGGGAAAAACCCAATACAAGTAAGTTGGTAAAACCAGGGGTGTGATGATGCAAAGATTATATCGATTTGTAAGGCTCACAGCACACGCATTCATCGCGTTTGTGCCTGAAAAAGTAGATGTTTGTAATTTATGAAATTATATGCAAATTATATGCTGTTACATTTAGGTTCATAGAGTGAACAAGACTGTACAAACGAGAAAGAAAAAAGTTTAACGTGGGATTTTGTAGCCAATACAATAATCCATTATTTGTTGCTGTAGTTTTATGCCCTACCAAGTGACCGAAATCAAAAAGCAAATACGGAGATGAAAAATAAAATACGAATGAGACGGTGAAAAGTGGACAATATAATCAATCGTGAACGATATTCTTCATTTGGTGATACAGTATTTGTAATGGTGCACAAATACCAGACGGTTAACACATTCGTAAATAACATCGCCTTAGGGCCATTGCCCGAAACGTCACCTACTCTTTTTTTAAGGCAGTTGTATTGATAAATGTGTTGGATTCTTTTAAGATAATTGTGACCGCATATCCTCACAATTAATGGAATCGCTGGCAGACACCGTGAACTTGCTAGCCTCGGTAGGTTATATTTTACACAAAAGCCATTGAAATGTGTGTTCACGGGTTACAGCTGACAGTGTACCCTGTAGGCTTCTATGTTACCCCCGTACCTCCGGTTGGCTACGTACGGTGCGAAAGAAGTTCTACATACACGTACATACATTTGCAATAAAGCACTGCGCAATGTGATGCAAAGGCATGAAACCTCACGCGTCCCACAGATGGCGCTATTGTTATAACACCGATACTTGAATAAAAAATACGTTGGCAGTGGTGCATACGCACAATTAACAACAACAAAAACTTGGCACATCGGTCGATAACAACACTGTCTCCAATTACCCACAGTGATGTATAGACCGCAAACGGCACGATTGTGACGAATGCATCGGTGCTCTCACCTTGCCTTGCAGGTCTGATGAATAGTCTCGTTATTTACAGAAAGTTTTTTGTTGTTTAAATTTAACAACACGCATTATGAATTCCCGGTCATGTTTTGAGCATGCCAAAAGTGTTGGAATTCACGTGCAAAGTTCACGTTTTTCTTTAATGTAGCAACTGCCACCCACGGCCGTGACTCTATTGTTAGTGTAACGGTGGGGTTAAATGCATGCCCAGTATGAATCGGTAAATCCTATTTAAAGTCACATGAGAAGGTGCTGAGACAGGTCTCTTCCAAGGGATACCTGGAAAATTATTAAATGCAATGACGCTCCTCTGATCTGCTCTCCTATTAACCGCCCTTGTTATCAGCCGCGCCCTCTCCCCAGTGAATCGTCCATGAACCTTCCAATTAACGCGTAACATCATCATCATCACGAGCCATTGTCTATCCACTACTGCTACCATCCGTCTCCTGCACAAGAACGAACCCGTCGTTCCGATTCGTGCATCTGTTCTCTCCGTAATCCTTAAGCGCATTAGATGAGTGAGCTGGAAGTGGAATCGAATTCGTACGATTCATCCACATGCAATGGTTTTTCCTGCACCGAATTGACCCTGACGTATCTCAATAGCACGTGACTCATCGTGCATCCTGTTATATGTACTCAAGTACGGATGAGATGTATACCCCCCCCCCCCCCCAAAGCTAAAAACTGTGCGGATAAATGCAGATAGTTGAACACATTTTCCCAAGTGGCAGAAAATGTTGCCAATTATCTGCATTTATCCGCACAGCGTTTGGGAAAGAGGAGTACGGTTAAATGTGGCTAAAAGCATCTGTCCATAGTGCCCTTCCCATATCAGCGTCGGGCGTGAAAAATAGTCCACTACAAAGTCATTCAGCAGTGGAGAGAGAACGTTTTAAGACATTGATGTCGAATTCACAAGCACAGATACACACGGCCATGCTTGGGACTTTTAACACGTAAAATGTCCCACGTATAACGCGACGTGTGCAATGCATGACATACTGTACATAAATTGTATAATAAACATAGATGAACGGGTGCTTTGGTTGTAACTGATTTTTTTTTACATTGGATTCCATTGTATCCATATTGCAACTGGATTAAATTGTTAATCATTATTTGCGGGACTAAATCATGATTTGAAACATTTTTTTCAACGATTGAAAGCAAAAAGAGTGCAAGTTCATCGCTAGCAGGGCACGGGTTCACAGATTGATTCAGTCTGCCACGTGCTCTGCTTGTCGAGGACATTGTGATCTCCCGTTGTTTTTGTACGTTAATCGTTCAAATAACTTAAAATGCACAGTTCCTTCGATGGCTTCAATCTACCACGTCCTCTGCCCGTGGTGACCTCTTGGCGCCGAGTACGGATCTGAGAGCTTTTTGCTGTATAGGCTGAGTGTGAATGCAAAATCTGTAGAATAATTTTGAGAAGGCTAAGCACCCCCCCCCCCCCCCCCCCCGTTAGCTCCAGCCACCTGCCACCTATGGTGTTACAGGAATTGGGGATTAGGAATTACAACGTCTAGCTGAGCGCTTTTGGCTTCGGAGATGACTTGATTAGCTCAGTGCCTGGTTGAATACAATAACGTATGAATATATTAAGTACGTTCCCTTGTGCCATTTAAATCGGCACGATCGGACAAGACGATCGCTCGCAATTGGCTGCAGAACGTTGTGCAAGTTCGACAAACGTTGTTGCTCTCTCTCTCTCCCTTCAGATCAAAGCTGCATTTTCTGCACAATAGTGAAGATGTGAAGAACCAGTTCCAGCCCAAATAACCCTAAAATACAGTTACACTTCTAGAGTTATATTCGTGTGCTAATTAAAGCTGTGCACAGTTAGAATAGGGCATCATAGAGCTATCTGCTAATCATGCGAAATAATTCTTAGATGCGATTATGATCAGGAGCCAATAAGACTGCCATTAAAGGGGAAAATATATAGACGTTTCAGGCAATGGCTGTTCTTCATGGTGCATGGTGAGGCCAGAGAGAGTTGATAATAAGAGTTGGAGACTGTACTTAAGAGCATTGGGCCTGATGATAATTATATTTTAATATTTTCTGATTCCCAGCTTTGAAATTGGCACGTGAAGTTACCTAATAGTAACAAATGAGGAACATACAAACCCTTCAATAATCAAAAGTGTTACTAATTGGTAATACGTTTCTATTAATTTAGTAAAACTTTTTGAACATTGAAGGATGTGTGTTATTTCATCTAGTTACAATTAGGTACATACGTGCATATATATAGTTTTAACTGGTCATTCCAAAACATTAACTTAACTATAATTCTCATCAGGCCCCATGGTGTTAAGTGCAGTCTCCAACTTTTAGAATGATCAGAATCTGTATTTATACTGGAGGGATCCGATAATCTATAAAGCTCTTTTCCACAGACGTCCAGTAGTTTCACAGTGGCCTCGCTGTTCGTGTGGTAAGAAGGGTCATTGCCCGAAACGTCACCTGTTTTATATACATGATTGTAGTAAGGCCACTGTGTTATTGACGAATGTAGTGAGGAGAGCGGTAGTGTAAGTGGTTAGCGCGCTGCGCAATTAACACGGCGACCCGAGTTGAATTTCCGCTCACGGCCAACACCACCGATGATGATTCTCTGAACTGGTCCTGGGCCTCCCCTAGGTCGACTCAGCCTCAAATGAGTTACCTGGTGCGGTGTGTAAACATCGCCACTGGGGGGCGATAAAGTCGGCAGGGCGTGGTGGTGCTGACCACCCACCCCTATCGTGTGCCAGTGCCGCTTGCCTTCATCGGTGCTGCTGCTCGCAAACAGCACTTGACCCAACAGTCTGCTAAGGCTACACGCGGCGTGGATCTTTGTCTTTGTTTATTCTGGAGAGGCTGCTGCTGCTTCGCTCAAGAAGGGCTCACAAGTGATGCGATCACATCTAACCCTCTATTTAAGGAACGAAACGGGAGGATTTCTCCACAAATCTGGCTGCCGCCTGATGAAGCTCGTTGTAATTCCTGGCGAAACGTCATACTCAGATTGTAAACGCTGTGGCTTGGCTCTCCAACACTCTGGTGTGCTGTAAGTGCCGGATGAAGCTAGTGCGGGGCCTGTAGCATATGTTATAAAGGGGCCCTAGTTAAATAAAACACATCAATATTAAAACACATTTTTTTTACTTGCATAGTAAAGTAATTGTATTTTTTTCATTTGATATACAGCCAGATAATACGACAAATCGCTAACCTTAAACACCCCGTCGTTCATAAAAGTTGAAGGCAGTATAGTTCTATAGTAATAGAGCAAGTGCAGAATCACTGAACCGGAATTGATAGCTTGAAAGCATTTAGCGCGGGGCCCTTGAAAGTGCAGGGGCCGTAGTATTTGTTGCTACTTTTGCTACTCGGATAATCCGGCACTCTGTGCTGTACTAGGAACGAATTGGCACGTTCTGTTTACGTGACAACCCTTACTAATTGCCTGTGGCGGGTTTAACGACACATTTATATATTTACGCGATCTAAACTAGAAAAAAAACCCTGTATTATGGATGGTATTGGTCGCGAAAGCCTACCACGTGGTAAGCTGCTGCTGCTGTTATTTTATTTGAACTTAACAACATGGCCGCAATCTCAACTTCCGGGGAGTGACGTCACAGACGCATCAGCCGTGCTGTCACGTTGGGGGGGTGCTCGGCGGATCACGTGGTGCGTGGTGGTGTGGGTTGGGGGGGTGTGTGGGGGTTTGGGGGGACTGTGCGGTGGGGGTTTGGGGGGCTGTTGGGTAGGGGCGTGTGGGGGGGGGTGGTTTGGGGGAGGGTGTGGGGGTTTAGGGGGGCTGTGGGGTGGGGGGCCATCCATTGAGTACGTACGCATGGAGGGGGGAGGGGGGGTTAACCCAAATGCGTAGCTTGCGTATGGGGGGGGGGGGGGTCTACTGTCAATGTACGTATAGGAAACGTGGGGGGGGGGGGGGGGGTGAAGCCTCGATAATAATTTGTCTACATTGGCCTTCAACTGAGTTAGATAGTCCGGCGGCGGTGGACTATCTGTTTGCTTAAACACGTTAATATTATGAATCATTGATCGTTTCTGCGTGGATTAAATATCAGCCGTTCTATAGGATTTGGGGGGGGGGGGCATCAGTCGTACGTACGCAGGTGGTGGTGGGGGGTAAATAGTCCGCGTGCGTACAGGGAGGAGGAAGTGGGGTCAAGTTTTGACAGATTTTTGCGTACCTACTAAATGGATGGCCCCTCAGGGTTTGGGGGGGGCTGTTGGGTGGGGGGCTGTTGTGGGGGGGGGGTAGTGGTCAGCGCGCTGCGCTACGAACCCGGCCACCCGAGTTCGCGTCCCGCTCACGGCCAACACCAACAGTGACGGTTATCTTGAAACCGGTCCTGGGCCTCCCCTAGGTCGACTCGGCCTCAAATGAGTACCTGGTGCGGTGCGTGGTAAACATCGCCGGCACTGGGGAGACAAAGGCGGGCGTGGTGCTGGCCACCCACCCCCTGGTCGTGTCACACCGTGCCGGTGGCCTTCATCGGTGGCTCGCTAACAGCACTTGCCTCAACAGTCTGCTCAGGCTATACGGGGATCTTTGTCACTGGGTGTGGGGAGTGCGGTGTGATGGGGGGTGCGGTGTAGTGGGGGGGGGTGTAGTGGAGGGGGAGCGGTGTAGTGGGGGGGGCGGTGTAGGTGGGGGGCGGTGTAGTGGGGGGGGAGTGGAGGGGGAGCGGTGTAGTGGGGGGGGGCGATGTAGTGGGGGGAGCGGTGTAGTGGGGGGGGCGGTGTAGTGGGGGGGGGGCGATGTAGTGGGGGGGCGGTGTAGTGGGGGGGGGAGCGGTGTAGTGGGGGGGGGCGGTGTAGGTGGGGGGCGCTGTAGTGGGGGGGGAGTGGAGGGGGAGCGGTGTAGTGGGGGGGGGCGGTGTAGTGGGGGGGGCGATGTAGTGGAGGGAGGGCGGTGTAGGTGGGGGGCGGTGTAGTGGGGGGGGTGTAGTGGGGGGGGTGTAGTGAAGGGGGTGTAGTGGGGGGGGTGTAGTGAGGGGGGGGGGTGTAGTGGGGGGGGTAGTGAGGGGGGGGTGTGGTGAGGGGGGGTGTGTGTAGTGGGGGGGGTGTGTGTAGTGGGGGGGGGTGTGTGTAGTGGGGGGGTGTGTGTAGTGGGGGGGGTGTGTGTAGTGGGGGGGGGGTGTGTGTAGTGGGGGGGTGTGTGTAGTGGGGGGGGTGTGTGTAGTGGGGGGGTGTGTGTAGTGGGGGGGTGTGTAGTGGGGGGGGTGTGTGTAGTGGGGGGGTGTGTGTAGTGGGGGGGGTGTGTGTGTAGTGGGGGGGGTGTGTGTAGTGGGGGGGGTGTGTGTAGTGGGGGGGGGGTGTGTATTGGGGGGGGGTGTGTAGTGGGGGGGGTGTGTAGTGGGGGGGGGGTGTAGTGGGGGGGGGCGGAAGTGACAGCGCGCGGCGAGGCACCCCGGGATCGCTTCCGCCTCTGTCACCGCTCCCAGCAACAGCGGCGGCAACAACCTCCACCGCTCGCCGCCGCCGCCACCCCCCCAGCTGTCCTCTCTCTCCCCGTGCTCTCTCTCTCTCTCTCGCCACTTCCACCGCGGGGAGCCTCACGCCGAGCCGCTGTTGTCGACGCCTTTCGCGGCCTCCCCTCACGCCGTCGGCTCGGGCTAAGGCCGGGCCCGAGCCGCTCCATTTTGTTCCGGTTGCCTTCAAGCCCCTCCTGGGACGCAGGCCCTCTGCTCCGAAGTCGGGGGGGTGACCCCGCTCTCTGCCCGTGCCTTGTTCGCCCGTCTTCCGTCTCGCTCTTGTTGGGAACGACGAAGACGAAGGCGACGACGACGAGGAGGAGGAGAGCCTGCGGAGGGCGACGAGCTACGGAGCCCCCGCCTCTGCGAGACGCCAGGCCTACGTGGTTAGCCTGCTGGCTTGCCTGAGGGGGCCGGCCGCACGGCACGCAGCCCGAGTAGGCGAGGGCGATCCCGGCTCGTCTCGGTCGACCCAGCTCAGCCGATCTGATCCTGGCGTGGCCCGATCCGATCCCACTCGACGCCCCTATCTGAACCC